GAAATATGCTTTCTTTTATGTTTTATCTAGGACCTAGCTCATTGTTATCAGTTAGAAATTAGCAATAACGCCAACCGAAAATGTGAGGTGGCAAACATTATTACCCATAATTGACTAGTAAAGAAAGTGAGTGGCCTATCCTTTCCCTCTCAAGATCTTCTTTATTCATGAATTGACTGCTGTACTTACTACATCCACAGGGTCATTTTCAGAGATGTGGAAGATATGGAGAATTATAATTGCAAAGTTCTTGCTCTCAGGCAAGTATAGCAGGGAAATAGAAACGGCATTCATTCATTCAACCATTCATTCCACAAACATTTATTGAGTATTTCTATGACTGGGTTAATGGATACAAAGATTAATAAAAGAGAATTCCCTAACCTTAAAAAGATTATAATCAACAGCTTTTGTTGGATTTCCTAACAAATGTCAATGAACATCTAACTCCTTTTGGTTATAGAGATGAATTCATTGGCATATTTTGTACATTATTCAGTTTTCTAGCCATAGAAGAAGCTGAATCAAACAAAGGACTTAGAGAGCTTACAAATGAGTTTGATGTGAAATAAAACTAGTGCTATAAACGTCTCAACTTTGCCTTTTTAATATTGTGTGATGTTGGGCAATTCATTTAGCTTTTTTCTGTGTCTAAGTTTTCTCATCTGTAAATTGAGGGGCTGGACTAGATGAGTTCTAAGGTCCCTTCTACCTGCAGATCTTGTCCTAGAGTAAAATATCTGATTTTCCTGATAGTAAAGAAACAAGTTATTTATAATTTAAAGGTGTATTAAAAATGGCCCCAAAGATGGCATTTTAAACAAACATTTCCCAAGATAACAAGTAGTTTCAATAAGAAATAGTTCTTATTTCTTCACAAAATGAATAATTGATTCACCTATCACTTATGACACGTTAGATTTGTTATTTATTTAACCCAGGTATCCACACAGAGATACCGAGCCACTAAGTGCACACATGGCATTTAGCAAAGGCCACTTCTGCACCCCCTCAATATCATAAGTCACATTATGGTAACATAGGAGCTAAAGTCAGTGCTCTTGGGCATTGGCTCTCCATAGTTATTTTTACCTTCACGGTTTCAGTTTCTATAGGCCAGGGCACTGTCCTGTAGAAGTGGCTCAGGTATTACCTATCACTTCCCTAGCTTCTAATAGTTCTGGATTTGGATGGGGGCATGGTTATTCTCTTATTTACCCAAAATGAGTTTCTAGGGTCACAGTGGGGAAGGGATACCATTCATGATGTAAAGAGAACCCTCACTTCCACCTCAATTTGTTGCATTGGCAATGTCCCATGGACATCTCTAGAAAGCAACCATTCTAAGCAGTCACCAGGACTCAGGTCAAATCAGCATTGTTAATATCATATTTGGAGAAATAAGCATGTTTTCAAGACAGATGATTAAGATTGTTCCTGAAGCTGGTATAGTTGCATTAATGCTTACCAAAGGGTAAAAAGGCCCCTTGGGATGTGGGGGGAATCATGAGATAGGGAAGTGGCAAGAAGCATTTAACAGATGGTGAATAATGTCCTAGGACAACGAGGTATTTGGGTACCAGAGGCAGAAGAAATAGAAACCTTTTTCTTTCTTCTTACAACCACACTATACTTTCTCACTGCTTTGTGGGGTCAGTGCCCACCAGTCCCTAGGGAGGAAGGGAGGGCATCTCAACTTAGTCAACAACCTTCCTCTTCTCCAATTAAAGAGTAATGTTTACAGCCAGTGAAAGAGAGTCCTGTCTAAGGGAATCCTGTTTAGCCCTCAGCTGGAATGAACAGTGTGTGCCACATGGGGGCCTCAAAAGGGAATGTGTGTTTGGTAGGCATGGAATAACTCGGGGCTGTGGAAAATTATTCATACACATTCCTCTTTCTTGAACTAAAATAATAATAATAAAACTGTTAAAGAACATTTTCCTCTTTTAAAGTGGAGACAAGGCTCCTCCTCAAGCTTCCTGTCCATGAGTTACCCCTTCTGCAATCAGGATGTGTTTTGCTAGCATTAACACTTGACAAGCAAGAGCAGACTGAGAAAAGCTTGATCTTTGTATTGCCATCCCTCATACAGCCACAAAAGTGGTTAAAGAGAGAAAAAAAAAGAAAGATGAGACAGAGAGAACATCCTGATAACATGAATCAGGCCAACATTTATGGGCTGGCATATGTTAAAGCAGGCAGCACAAAGCCTGGATAACTTTTTAAAATACAAGTGACCAGACTAATGTGTCGGAGCACTTGAAACCAGGTGGAAATGTTTGTTGTATTCCAATATGCTGCAGGCTCAATTCTTATGAGTAACCACAGTGGGAAGGAAAGCCAAACTGCTCTACTTGTTTTTCCCCCTATATCATATTCCATCTCCTGTTTCCATTCCTTTGAACAAACTTTACCTCATGTCTGGAAGTCACTCTTTTCCTTACCTCCACCTCAGAGACACCCTAGCTTGTTTCAAAGTTCAGCTCAAGTGCCACATCCCATAGGATAGTCCTCCCAGTCTCTAATGTCCAGCGTACCTGGCCAAATTGTTTTGCAGCCAATTTACATTTTTTTGTATTTTTTTCCCCTTGTTCATATTCTCCCACAGTGGAGTATAAATGCCTTGAGGGCAAGTGTAATTTTACTTTTACCTTTCTATCCATTCTGCCTAGCACAATGTAGTTGCTTAACAAATACTTCTTGAATGAAGGAATGAAAGTAGAGAGCGTTATCCCCAATTTTCTTTTGTTTAAAGGTTTGAGGGATCTCCTTTCCTCTCCTCTCCTCTCATGGGGTATCATGCCTTACCTTAGGGTGTTCTGCCCAAAGGAAGGTTAATTTTGATGGCCAGAACCTACCTAGATAACTTGGGGTTTACTGGCCTTTCTCAAAGATCCTTAGACCAAATTCACTAGGAATCTCATAGATGGGATAATATATAATAGGTCCTAATAATAATAATAATAATAATAATAATAATAATAATAATAATAATAATAATAAAGTTCCTGCCCAAGCACCACTTAATGCTTATTTTTTTGGGCCTTCCTGGCTCAAAGTGAATGTAAATAGCAACTGTTTCTCTTTTGGCCAGCAACTCCAAGGGTCTTCCCCTCCCAGTTTGATTTTTTTTCTATTAAAGAAGCCATCCTTTGACTCACTTCTTAAAGGGGCCTATTCACTGAATGGGCATTGCCTCACTCAAAGTGAGAACTAGAAAAGACCTTAGTTTAAAAAGGCCAAGGTCTCCCACTGTATCCTGGGCTATCTCCAGTTGTCCTGATCTATATTTGGCCACTGGACATGAAAGTGAGGCTGGTGACTTTGCACAGCCCTCTGTCACCTAAAATCCAATTCAATCACAAGTCACGTCATCATCTCCCTGATGTCATGGTTCTCTTCGAGGGAACACAGGACAAACCACACACAATAACAGATCTCCTGTGTCTTAATCTTGAACTCTCTTCTCCACTTATGAATGGCTAGAAGCTTTTTGAGAGTACCCTTTCTAATTTCCTTTCTTTATAGACAGTGCATACTGACATACACATGCACACATACAAAAGAAACCCAAAGCTGCAAGGTGCTCAAGGGGGCACACAGAGAGAATTGGGAAAAGGAAAGTCCAGGTTACTGGTCAAAGGGAAGGTGGAAACCATTATAAATGGCTTGTTTTCTCCGTCTGGCTCTCTGGATAGGCTTCACCTGTATTGACAATGCTTCTTTGCTCTGAAGAAACCATTAAAGAAAAAAAAACAATTTCATTGTAAAAAAAAATTTCTTGGAGCAGTTCAATATTTTAAAGAGCCACAAAGTGTAAGTTATTAATGTAATTAGTTGATCAGGCATTTGACAACTCAGGCTGAAATAATTTGGACAAATAACTAGTTTTTCAGGCTGTGAAGGTGGGAAGAAACATGGAAAAGGGAGAAGACAGGCCATGAGTGAGGGTGAATTAAAAAAGCTAAAATTAATGTTTAAAACAAATACTTTTCTACTTTGAGGGAAAAAGCAATGAGGGCTTCAAGAGCGGCAAAAGTCTCTCACTGGGGATTTGGTAGAGAATTTAACTTTGGCCTTGACCATAGGCCACAGCTGCAGTGCCTGATGGACAGCTGGTGAGGGCATGAAGGGGAAAAAGGGAGTGGGAACATGGGGAGAGAGCTGGAATTCTGCAATTTATATCTTCTTCCACATAACCCAAGCTTCTCAGCTGTCAAAGAGTTGGCACATCCTACTGACGTGCCATTTCACGGCTTATTCATTGTACATAGTTCTTTGGGACTTTATAATCTCATTTTATGCCGACATCATGGAAAAATCTTACCAAACTTGATTTATGTAGGAAGGTAATTTTGAAAGCTCAGAACCTGACATTATAACCTTTGTGGAAAGATTAGGAAACCTTGGAAACCCCAGCCTACCATTCTTCCATCTATACATTCAGATATAACATGCCAGTGTACACGTAATCCATAGACCTAGGACCTTTTTCGTCTTCATAATGTAAGATTCCTCATATGTTGTATTCCCAGTAGGTATTTCCTCAACATATTGATATATAGTTCTTCTAAAAATTTTAAGTCAACAGAAATATGCCGCAATGTATAAGAACTGTTCACACACAAGCATGCACATACACTTTTTCTCTGTGTCTGTCTGTCTATCTCTATCTCTGTCTATCTCAGAATTCTATGAGCCAAGCAGTAGAATATTTTACTCTAAAATAAGACAGTACTGAAAATGTTAAGGGCCAGTTTGGGTTCTATGCTAACCACCCCCTGCTTTATTGCTCAGGGAATTTTTCACAGAGTCAAGCATTCATTCTTAAACCAAATTTCTTGATTGTATATGAATTTTTGGACCCTTCAAAACACTCGCTGAGTTTTTAGTTGGCCATAGTCTTCTTCTAGTAGGAAGAATATCAGCTTTACACAAATGTTGAGAGTCGTTTCTAAATCAATATATACAAATGTCTCAAAATGCTTGTCACTACTTACCTCATGAATTAGACACTTGTCTATGAGTTGTAAATAGGAACTTATATTTTCTTCATCAGGTCTAGAGACCAGGAGCTGTGTACACACTGCAAAGGGAAGGAAGAAGTTAGAAAACTGCATGTGTTTTTCTGAAATATATTAGTTTTGCCAACCAAAAAGGAGGCTGGAGTGGAAGAGGAGCATGTGTGATTGTATTTTGATGTAAGCTCAATGAAACATACAAAATAACTCAAGTTTCTTCATTCTGTCAAATTCAAATGAACTGGAAGAGCACTCGTCTAGAACAACCCTCTAAGTTAATCTCAGTTATACTGTTCTAGCCCTTTGTTACTGACCGTGAGATGAGAAACATGGTGGCTATTTGTAATGCACCTAATTTATGTCTTTGAAATGAGCTGACAGGCCATTCCTACTGAAAAGGAAAAAAAATCCAAGAACAGAGTTTGAAGGCATAGTTTCTCCTCTCTTTCTCTCTCTGTCTCTGTCTCTCTCTCTTCTACTCTCTTCTTCTCCCCTCCTCTCTCTCTCCTTCCTTCTCTCTCCTCTCTCTGTTTTGGTCATTTTTTATGAATGAAGTGCATGTATTCTGCAAAGACAAATAGGATATTATTTCTCATTTGTAGGAACTTGGACACCATATATATCTTTCTTAAAAACATGACATATCTATGTTCCTATTAAATTAATACTTTTCTATTTTATAGATGACATTATTTCCACATTGACCAGTATACTGGAGGAATGTTTATCTATCCACACAACTCAGAACTACTGCTCACTCACAAAGCAATAGGTTAATAATACATTCAAAGTACAAAGTCAGTAAGTGCAAAAATGAAGATTCCCCTTGTTTTACTAGCTTAATCTCTCTTTGCTCAATTCAATTCAATTCAATTCAATTCAATGATTCAATAATAATTAAGTACCTAGAATGTGCAAGGTAGTAGGGATACAAAGACCAAATGAATGTCCCTCAAGAATGACTTACATTCTACTTGGAGGGAGAGAGGGGATGCAACAGTTAAACAGATAATTAAATAGAATTTGAAGAGGATGAGATTACTAATAACAAGAGGGGTTTATAAAAGGCTTCCCATAGGGTTAGAAAGTGACTTGAGCCTTGAAGCAAATACACACACACACATGCATATGTATTTCTATCTCTATCTATCTACACACATATATGCGTGTGTGCGTGTGTGTGTGTGCGTGTGCGCGTGTATGTTTTATGACTAGCAGCTTAGAGATCCAATGTTGGCACTGGTGACAATGAGAGATACTCCCCATGAGACAGTACTGTGGACCTGGCCAAGCTCAACCTAACACTTCTAGATGTGCAAAGTCAGAAGTATTACTCCTACTCCCTGGCCAGCTTCTCCACAGCCTTTTCTTGCCATGGCAGGCTTGCCTCCTTCTCTACTCCTTTTAGCTCTGGAACCATAATCAAATCATCTCAGCAATTTTTCCTAAGAGGAGTGTGTTAATTAATCTCCTTTCTGGTTCTACTCAACATCTCTGTTACTTTCTGGACCAACGTGCTTTTTCCTGGTTCCCTCACTCTTATGTGAGCCATCTTCCTCTTGCATTAGAATGTAAGCTCCTTGAGGGCAGGTATTCTTTGCTTTTGGACTTTAATCACCAGTGCTTGGCTAGTGCTTGGTAAGAGCCTGATAGATGCTATTTCACTCACTCACACGCTCAATCATTCATTCATTTATTCATTCAAACTGTCCTCTATGTACCTTTTAAAATAGCCAGAAACAAAAACTCCTTGAAGGAAGAGGACCACTTGGGATTTGTGAAAAAGTATTTGGTGTCGAACATATAGGAAGACTTTGGGTTCAGTAAGTGTGTAAGTTAAGGCAATTTCCTTACATGTGGGCCTACTATGAATGTATTTTCTTACATTCATGAAATCTCTTCACGGAAAATCCCTTCTCACTCAGACTCAGCTAAGAAGTTAGCCCTGTTAGGGAAGGCTCACTTTAAAATACAGAGTGGGAAGTTTGGGTGAGGAAAATGACAATTGTTCTTATGGTATCACCACGCGGTTGGTTTCATATACAGAGAAGATCTATCAGTCTTTGGAATCATTTTATAAGAGTTGAGTTTGTTTAAGAAACATTAAGGGCCATTTGATAGGGGATAGGGTGGATAAGAGCACAGGATCTGGAATTAAGAAGTTCTGAATTCAAATTTGGCCTCAGATACTAATTAGTTGTATGACCTTGGGGAAGTCACTTAACCTGTCTGCCTCAGTGTCCTAAAGTGTAAAATGGAGATAATACTACCCACCTCTCAGGGTTGTTATGAGGATCAAATGAGATATTTGTGAAGCATTTAGTTCAGTGCCTGGCACATAGTAGGTGCTTAATAAATGCTTGTTTCTTTCCTTCATATGTAAAAATGAACCTTTATATGGTATGTTTCTTTTTAACAAAAATTAGGCTCTGTAAAAAATTGCCTAATATTTAATATTAAAGAGAAGAATGTTCCTTCTCCCCACCCCTATAAGAAAAGGAATGTTTTTGGACTTTTTTTTCCCCATTTTTAAGTGACTGAAAGGACTTTTCTAATCTCAATGTCTTATTTCTAGCTGTGAAACTTTTCTAAATCACTTTACCCATCATTTTATCCTTCCCTCAGGTCTCAGAAGATGAGATGATGCTTCTACTTTCTCTTGGTCCTAATCCCTTGCCTTCCTCAAGGTCTTGTTCCATTGATTACATTCTCTCTCTCTCTCTCTCTCTCTCTCTCTCTCTCTCTCTCTCTCTCGCTCTCGCTCTCTCTCTCTCTCCCCTTCCTTCCTTCTCTTTTTTGCCTCAATGTCTGTATGTATTTCTCTCTCTATACCTCCACCCATCTCTTTCTCCTCTGCTGCTCTCTCCCCACTTCTTCTTTTACCTTTGGCATTATCTACTTTTGTCTACAAAAAATGATCTGGTTTCCCTGATCCTAAAAGCAAATAGAAAAAACCCACAACAATAACAACAACAACAACAACAACAACGACGACAAACCTTAGCCTTGATCCTCCTTGCACATATCCCCTCTACCACCAAACAAACAAAAAACCAACCCACACAAAAAGCAAAAACCCAAAACTAAAATATCTATCTCAAGCCATCATCTGATGGTTGGTTTGTCTTCCGTTTTGTGTCAAACTTCTAGAAAGAGTGTTGATTATCTCCACTTTCTCACCTCCAGTTCATTCTTCAACCCCTTCCCATCACACTTCTACTGCATCACTCTACTTAAAAGTTCTTGCTCTAAGGTCTTCAAAAACTTAAAAAAAAAATTTAAAGATCTTTGTTCAGTTTTCAACCTCTACTTCAATTAAAAGTATCATTCCTTTACTCTGAAATGGATCCTAACTTTACTCCATCCTGATCATAATACATTCTCACAGTGAGGGAAAAGTGGGGAAAAAGGGGAGTTGGGGCAGAGAGAAGGATGGGGATAGTTTAGTGACTGAATTCCCCACCATCATAAAATAATCTCTCTTTTTAAAGAAGAGATTTTATAGGAAAATGTCTAGACTAGTCCCTCAACATTTGAGAAAGAAATCCAAATACTCCATTCCTCCCTCCTCCTTCCTATTACCCTAATGCAAGCCCCTTCATTTACCAACCTCATGCAGCCAGAAGCAAAACTGCCACAGTAAAGACACATGCCTTCTTCTGGATAGCAGGTGTACTACACTGTAAATAGAAGGTGCCAATACCCTTTCTATTTTTTTTTAACTAAATTCTGACCTCATGCTGACCACGGAGGAAGAAGATACTAGAAGGATGGAATCATCCACTGAGGATTTTGTCTGTTTCTTAAATTACCCTTCTCGGAGTCTCATTTGTACCTTATGAAGTACAAATGACAAATACCCATTCCTTTTTCTGAAGGAAGAAGCAATTATCTCTCTCTATGAAGAGAAAAGAGGGGTGGTGCAGAGAGGGAGAGAAAGGGATACAGAAGAAATTGGAAGCAGAGAGATATCACATTTCACCTTTTCCCATGACTCTTGTGAACTGTCCAGGGAGATCACCTTCGGGCAGAGGTGCCCCTGCAGATTCTCCTTCACAGCCACTCATGTGATGCTGCTGGATTCCACCTCCTGCTGCAGAGTCCTTACACTCAAGGGCTTGGTTATCGGAACCAATCAGAGTAGGCTGATGACGAGGTTCTGACTCCTGGCTGTGTTCTTCTGGGTTAGAGCTCTGGGAGCAGTATGCTTTTATTGGAGTAAGGATCATCTGGTGCAATTCTTGCAGTGGGACACGCAGGTTGCCCCCGTCTAAGATGTCCTGAAAATTTAAAGATAAAAGACAACAGTTAACCACATGAACCATCTGCTCTCTATTTGACCCATGCAACCTTTTGGTTTCAGTTTTCTGTTTGGTAGGAAGGGAAACTGAGGGTAGAGGAATTATTTTACTTCTAGGGCTATAATGAAGGAAAAACAGCAGCTGAGATGCCCAGAAGTTCACAGGAGAAAAAAATCTAAGAAATGGAGCCAATAATAAAATTTTCAGCCTCAGATGTCTATACACAAATGCCCAAAGCTTAGGCAATAAACTAGAGGAATTAGAGCAAAGAAAGAAAACTCAAAACGTCAGTGTGGTTTGGTTATATTTTGTTAGTCTTAAGGAGAGGAGAGAGAAAAAAATAGGAAAGAATGAACAGAGAAAAAGGAAAACAAGAAATGAGAAAGAAGGGAAAAGAGTTTAATATTTCTTATAATTAGGACACACCAGAAGAATGGAATACAATTATGGATACATGGAGAGTGGGGTTCTCATGAACCTCATTCTTACAGGAATCAGGCAAAGCAGAGTTAAATACACATTCAACTAAACACAAAAATAGAAATTCTGAAAATCTAATAAAAGATATATAAAACTAAAAGCAAAAAATGTACTAAAGAATGGATAAAATCCTAAAGAATGGATAAGTAAGATTAGGAGCTTTTTTTGGGGGGGAAACTAATAAAATAGACAAACCATTCACTGATTTCATTTTTAAATGACAGTGATAAACAAATTATCAAAATGAAAAATGAAAAAAGAGAACTCAAAGTAGATGAAGAAATAAAGGAAATTATTAGAAACTATTTTCCCCACAATCATATGCCACATTCATATGGATTTAAATACCATATGAATGTTTACAAAAAATATAAAATATCCAGATTAGCAGAACAAGAAATGATCTACTCTCAGAAAAAGAAACTCAACAAGTCACAAATTATTCTCCAGAAGGAAAACACTCAGAAGCAAATGGATTTACAGGTGAATTCTATCAAAGAATAATATCAATATTAAATAAATTGTTTATAAAAAATAGATGAAGGCATTCTATCTAACGCTTATGAGATAATTATGATCCTAAAGACCAAACCAAGGTGAGATAAAGCAGAAAAAGAAAACTATAAACTAATATCTAATGAATATTGATGCAAAACTCTAAATAAAATATTAACAAAAAGGCTACAGCAACATATTTAAAAGATTATTATATATACATTGTTGTAACCAGGTTGGATTTATGCCAGGAATTCAAAGTTGGTTCAATTTTAGGAAAACTGTAAATATAATGTAGATCATACTAATAACAAAATCAATAGATACAGAAAAAGCTTTTGGCAAAATACAGTATCTACTTATGCTTAAAAAACCCCAACATGTTTGAAAGCATAGGCTAAATGGACCTTTACTTAATATAGTAAATAATATCTATTTAAAACAAAGAATTAGCATCATATGTAAGAGAGAAATGCTAGAGGGTTTTCCAATAATACCACCAGTAAAACAAAGATGTTCATTGTTGCCACTATTATTTGATATACTAATATAATAAAAATGGTGTTACTACCTAAAATCCTGACATCATTGTCACAAATGCTAGAAGGGAAAGAAAAGGTATCAAGCACCTAAAGAGTGAAGGTACATCAGATCAACTCCAGTTTTTAAAAAGGATATGTATAAGACATGGAAACATTGACAGATAACAGGGTGAATATAAAATTGATATAACAGAGATCTGGGGAATTAAGAGGTCTTGTTCAGGGATGAAATACACTTAGTAAGAGATAGTAAAAAGGACTTACTAAACCTAAAGGGGTTTTAAGCTGAAAAGGAAGGGGCAGGGTAAAACCTGCTTATGTATATCGACCAAGCTAGTTAACCATTGACATTGAGATAGATATCACATATATTTTTGTAGGCAAAAACCTGCCTACATATGCCAAACAAGCTAGATATCACTGAGATTCTCCCTCATTGAGAATAACTACAATGTAGGAATAACAGTAATAAAGAGTCCTAGAAATTCACAGAAGACAAAACTCAAAGAAATTAGTGAAAATAAAAACCACAGCCTCAAATATAGACTTAATGTGTAGAAAAACGTCCTAATTCATACAAAAGTGGAAGGGATTGTCTAGGGAGATGATGAAGGTCTTCAACCAATCTCTAGATGAATAATAACAGGTAGAACTTAATTCACAAATGGAAAAATAAGGTTCAAATCAAATAAGAAAACACTTGTAAATTCTTTTGCATACTTTAAGATGTACTATTGTTATTAAAGATACCTCTATCATCATAGCTTGAGATTTTCCAATTTTGGTACTTGAAATATTTCCTATTCCAATTAATATGAGGATGAGGCAGAGGAGAGAAAAGTATTTCTGAATTGTCCTCAAAGGAATAGTTTTATTCCCTTAAGTATGATAGCAATTATACAACTTTTCCAGCAAACTTCTTGGTCAACGAATTAAAACACAAGATCAATTATTAGGCCATTCTTAATTTGTGGTTCTCAAATTTCTTTGTAGTAGCAGATATTTATTATATGTTACTACCAAAAAAAAAAAGCAATCTATCGATTAGCTACAGGAGCAGTTTAAAATATCACTAATGTGTAATGATGGCCATTTTTGCAGATAGGTGAAAAAAAATCTTTAGCTCTGCAAAAATTTGTGCACTAATACATAGATTTTTTTCCCCCTTACCCTAAACCTTATAACTTTTTCCTCTAGAGAGTCTTCCATAACCTTAGGCCAAGAGACTACCTACCAGTAAGTATATCTCTATTATAAATACTCATAAAGCCTCCCACTATTTTTAACTTTTTCCCAAGCACCAATTTCAATGAAATCTTAACCACATGGAAATAAAAAGGAGATAAAGCATTTATTAAATTGCTTTAAAGCCAACTTAGTCCCTCTGGGCCTTAAGACATGTGCTAAATTTTCTGAATTCACTCTACCAATTAATCTAACAACATGTATTTGTTAAGTGCCTACTATGTGCCAAGTATTTTGTTGGGCACCAGCTATACAAAGAAAAAACAATGAACCAAACCCTACTCTCAAGGAGCTTATGTTCTAACAGAGGTGATATGTATGTAATATGTAGAATAAATGTAAAATAAATATAAGGAAGTTAAATTTAAAGTAGTTAGGGAAGGCACTAGAAGTTGGAGGGATCAGCAAAACTTTCATGTAAAAGATGGGAAGACACTGGGGGATTTTAGGAAGGAGAGATGAGGAAGGAGTATATTGGACACAGGGGACAGAGAGTACAAAGGCACAGAGATGGAGAACATAAAAAAGGGTGGATTTGGCTAGATTAAAGAGAGCCAGAAGGGGAATAATGTGTAATGAGCCTGAAAAGATAGGTGTGGTCAAATTGCAAAGGATTTTAAAAAACAAAAAGAAGAATTTATATTTTATCTTAAAGTCAAAAGGGAGATAGAATTTGTTGAGTAGGACAGTGATCTCATATGTACTAAAGAAAAATCACTTTGGAAGCTGGGTGGAAGATGGAATGGAGACCAAAGAATATGGTACCCTCACACTCAAACTAGCAAATTTGGTCCCCAGAAGGGTAGTTACTATTTCAAGGCTCTGTTCCCAAAACTATAGCTCACAAGTTCCCACCAAGGTGCTTCCTATTAACAGTCAACTAAACATAATTAGCTTTCTAGTAAAGGTATTTACCAAATTGGCACATTAAGAAGAACAGCTAAAAAATATCCCTTCATAAACCTGAGGAACATTCTCCCACAAATACATGAGGATAAAGAGCACAAACATATAGAGCACAATGTTGGTGAGGCAAACATGTAGGGAATATATGTAGCTAGGGCAACTCCCAACTCCAGAACTACAAGATCTTTCCTCTCCTAGTAGAGTCCTTACAAAGTCCCGGCCCTAGATACATCTTCTCTCCTGGTAGGTGGTCCAGCTAGGTTCCCAGGGTCTGCTCCTCTCTGCAACTTGATCATTTACTGTCAGAGCCAGTTCTCTCTTTATTCCACAGTCAGGGCTCTTCTCGGCTGCCAGAGTTCCCATTCACATAAAGGAGGAAGCTGATTCCTTCTTCAAGTTACTGTCTCTATGGTATCCATGTCTGTTTGGTATATGGATCTCTGCTCCCTGGTAGATGCAAAGTCTTAGTGGTTAAGTAGCTCTACTTTAAAATGACTTGGCTGATTTGCTTGAGGGGAGGAAAAAGAATTCTCCTCTTCCCTACTCAAGAATGGTTCCCTCACAGGGTCCAGGTTCTTTTTTCACTTGTCACTCCTCGCTTGCATTAATTTAAAACTGATTCTCAAACTATCATTTAAGGCTCTTCAGGGAATGTGGCCATCTTCCGTCAGCCCTTCTGATTCCCTCAGAGAAGGTTCATACTTGTAAAGGCATCACCAGCTGTTATTTATTGACTTATTGACAATCAATATAAAAAGGGACATGGAACTTCTTTATAGAACTAGTAAAAATCATAATGCAAATTAAATGGAAAAATAAGTACATAAAAATATTAAGGAATATCCTAAATTTAAAAGGGGGTAGTTAGGTGGCACAGTGGATAGAATGCCAGGCCTGGAGTCAGGAAGACCGGAGTTCAAATCTGACCTCAGACACTTACTAGGTGGGTAATCTTGGGCAAGTCACTTAACCCTATTTGACTCAGTTTCCTCATCTGTAAAATGAGTTGGAGAGGGAAATGGCAAACCATTCTAGTATCTTTGCCAAGAAAAACCCGAAAAGAGATCATGAAGAGTTGGACATAACTGAAAAAAATGATAAAACAACAAGAAAACTGAAAGGAAAAGCAGACAAAATAGTTACTATCAAAGCTATCAGGCATAAGAAACAAAACTCCCCAAAATGACCCATTATTTAATAAAAGTACTTGGTAAAAATGCTGCTGATTCTCCACTTCCAGTTTCTGTGGCAGGAGTAAACAAAGAAGCGCTTTGACTGAATAAGCCATGTAGATGACTTGTGTAGAGATTGAATTTGGAGTAGAGAAATTTGGCCAAATTGGGGAGAAAATTGATGAAAAATTGAAGAATAGCACTCTACAGTTTCAGATACAGGTTTAGATTCTACTTTTGGGATGAAAGATAATGATTAAAGATAAGAAGGATTATAAAAGGATTAGAGAAGACAGCCTGAAGAGGCAGATTCAGGAAGGAGAAAGAGAAAGTAGTCTGTGGTATAAGGGAAGGAAGAAAAGGTAAGTGGAATAATTAGAAGACTACACAAACTGATAGAGTGGACTGCTGAGTGGGGAAATTGGTGAAACAGATGAATATAAGGATGAAGGTGAAATGGGTGTGGTGGTAGAGCCTAATGACTCTAGTATTAGTATAGCCCTTCAAGATTTGCAAAGCACTTTAAAAAATTCATTTTATCTTTACAACAAACCAGGGGGGTAGGTGCTATTATTACCCCCATTTTATGTAGGAGGAAGCCTAGGATGAATGCGGTTAAGTGACTAGCCCAAGGTCCCACAGTTAGCATCTGAGGCTTTGAACTCAAGTTTTCATGACTCTAGGTCCAGCAGTCTTCTCCAACACACCACCTATCAGTCTTTATACCTATTTATAAGCTATTTAGTTATTACTATTAAGTTATATTATTAACTATTCTAGTTATAAGTCATGGAGAGGTGACATTTGGCTATAAGTTTTAAACAGGTAGTTAGAGTTCAGATATAAACAATCAGATGGAATTAAAAGAAACAAGGCTGAAAATCTTAACCTTCATAGAGAGCAGAGAAAATTGTGTATTTAACCGAGAAAAGGAATTTGGAATCACAGTATATACCATTTATCTGTCAGCATTCCACTTGGATAAGAGATTGAAATGTTAAATTTCTTTTAAAGATGTCTAAAAAAGATAGAAGAAAATTGAATGAATACCTTAATTGTGGAGTGAAGATTAATTGTATCGAGTGCACAACTACTGCAGACAAGACAGATTATCGAGCTAATTTTTCCCCCAGACAACAATTTATCCTTGTACAGGAGTGCTCCCATTGAGGAAACTTCAACCAAAACATTCTGGCAACACTTATGCAACTTGTCCTCTAGAGTTTCCTGGGGGCACTGAGAGAGTAAGGGACTTCCTTAGCATCATAAAGCCAGTTTGTGTCCCAGGCTGAACCTGAACTTTGGGGCGGGTTCTCTATCAATGCCATGTGAACTCTCATGCTGGACTATATAAGGATTTTAAAAACATTCTGTACAACTAAAAAGAATTTAATTAAAAGAAAAACATGTTGGGGAAAATATCTATGGCAAATTTGATTAATAAAACATTGATATCTAAAATATATAAGAAACTTAAAAAAAATCACTATTGTTAAGCCCAGATCTACTCTGAATAAATGGTAAAAAGATTGTGCTGTTCAGTTGTGCCCAACTTTTTCTGATCCCATTTGGGATTTTCTTGGTAAAGATACTGGAGTGGCTTGCTACTTCCTTCTCTAGCTCATGATCCAGACAAGGAACTGAGTGGCTTGCACAGGGTCACACAGCTAATATGGATTTGAGGCCAGATTTGAATTTAGGAAGACTCATCTTCCTGACTTCAGGCTGACACACTATTCACTTCACCACCTTTTGCTATTGTTGAGTCGTTTCAATTGTGTCTGACTCTTCGTGACCCCATCTGGGGTTTTCTTGGCAAATCAATACTGGAGTGGTTTGCCATTTCCTTCTCCAGCTCATTTTACAGATGAGGAACTAAGTCAGACAGGGTTAAGTGACTTATCCAAGGTCACACAAGCTAAGAAGTGTCTGAGGTCATCTTTGAACTCAGGTCCTTCTAACTCCAGGGCTAGAGCTGTATCCACCGCATCACTTACTTGCCCATAAATAGTAAAAAGATATGAACAGACACTTTTCATAGAATCATACAATTAGAGCTGTAAGATGTCCTTATAGACATCATGTCCAATCCCCCTCATTTTACAGATGAAGAAACTAAGGCATAGAGAAGTTAAGGACTTGCCCATTGTTGACAAGAAATACTAAGTATCCAAGATGGGATTTGAACATAGTTCCTTCTGATTCCAAGGCTTCTGTACTACGCCCTACATCATGTTGCCTCTCAAAAAAGATGAAACCCAAGTTGTTAACAATCAGTTGAAAAATATTCAGCCTCCCTAATAATCAAAGAGACACAAATCAAAATAACTTTAAGGTACTTCCTCCCACCCATCAAATTAGCAAAGATAATTAAAAGTAAGGAAACTTAACATTGGTAGGGTTGTAGAAAAACAAGTGTGCCCATTTATTGTTCATAGATCTGTCAATCAGTAGAATATTCTTAAATAGTAATGTGGTGGTAAAAACTAAAACACACATTTTGCCTTTTGTTATGAAAATGCCCCCACATTGCTATCAAAAACGCTAGGTTTTCAAAGCTGTGTTTCATATAATTGTGAAAACTGTGATCCATTAACATAATGTAATACTCTAATATAATTATGGTGGACAAATATATGATTACAGAGAAACTCAGAAAGTTTCTTTCTTAGAAAAACCTTTACGAAAAAATGCAAGGCCAAAAACAGCAAACTAAGTGTGATCAGACAAAGAAAAAAAAATGAATCAGTATAGACAGAATTCTGATAGGGACTTAGAGAAAGAAACTGAAAAGGTGATTTGCTATTTAAATATTAAAATCAATTCATCTAAATGTAATTTTTGAGCACTTAAGTTGTTTGAACTAGTGTTTAATGATAAAATTTCTTTAAAAAATTATCTTAAAAGAAAGAGGGAGTAGATCATTTTCCTGTTTGGTGAAGATGGAATTAAAGGGTATTTCATTTCCTAGAGCTGCCTGCCATTTGAATAATGATAAATTAACTCATAATTATTCTTTGGGAAAACATGAAATGTACACATCTCTCACCTACAGAATGTAAACTCCCTGAGGACATTATTAAATGATTTTTTAATGAAATAGTAAAGATTTAAAGATAAATGTAGAACTATCAAGTTGCCAAAGCCATGTGTGTATCTTCAAATTTCCATTCAGTGGTGGACAGGAGATAATTAAGAAGGCAAATTTTAGGTACGCAAAGAAAAGAGAGTAGAGGAGAGGAGAGGAGGGAGAGAGAGGGAGAGAGGAAGAGAGAGAGAGAGAGAGAGGATTTGGGGTACCTATGACATAGAAGATCTGATTTGGCAGTACTTTAATTTTCTGAATCTGGTTAGGGTTAGAATTAAGAACTGTCAATAATATTCTCAATAGGTTATTTAAGGATTTTCTCCTTGGCTACTTTTTCCATTATGGAGGTGGAAATGTCACATCACTTACCCTTTCTAAAGACTTTAGCAGGTTTTGTCTCTCCTTGAGCTTCTGGATGCTGATGACAATTTTGTGTCTTGCGCCTTTGGTAACATTCTATAATCAAATGGAAGTGTGAAAAGCACCAATTTTTTATCATTTTTTTTTTTACCAGCTTTCAAAGAAATACATCAAAAGAGCCAGAAACAACCAGGGGATCACCAACTTAGCAGGAACTTTATATATTTATTTAGTCCTTTCCTCTTTCTCTTTTGTACTTAAATGATCATACACTCATGAATTTTACTCCACTTCTTTCCTCAGTAACCCATTCTAATGCTGAAGCCCCCATAGTAAGGAAACTTTTCTGTACCTATCAGAAGGATTTAAATCCTTCTGCAGTAAAACTTGTCCCTTTCTTTCTCCCTGTCCTTTAAAAAAAACTGAATCCTTCAGACAAAGAAAAGTTAATCATCATTTTATTGATTTTTTTCCTACATTCTTGAAGTATTCCAAATCATACTACCTACTCTGCTTCTCTAAGACATCTAATTTCATGTGCTCTAAACTTTTCTGACAGTTCTCAGCTAATGCTAAACAACACAGAATGTGTGTGTGTGTGTGTGTGTGTATGTGTGGTCTCAAAAGCCTTTTCTGTTTCTTTTATACTGGGAAATATAACTGAAAAGGAGGTAAAACTCTAGATTTTAGGTATTGGTGCCAAGATATGCCCAGGATTCCATCAGGCCAATTTGGCCCTATCTTTGAGGTTCCATTTTCTCAACTTCATAGCCATGGTTGACCAAAGAATCATTCAATAAACATTCGCTGAATGTCTTTGCTATGTGCAAGTCATTAGAATGGTTCCTTTAGGTACAGAAATAGAAAGCCCTTTTCCTAATCTCATCTGTAATATAACTTTCCCATGACTAACTATACTCTATGCCAAAGAATCCCTTTTTGAGGAAGGAAAGGGCAGGGATATCCCTTTGACTTGGATAAAGAAGACATTATCGAAAAACGAGTCTACTTTCTGGGATAAATCATGGGGTCCTATGTTTTTGATCTATACTGGTCAGTGGTTCAACAGAATTAAAATATTCTGAGTAGTTTCTGCCAAGCTCTTGCCCTTCTTTCTGTGTCATTCATGTTTAACAAGTTATGACCCTGGGAACCTTCCCTCCTCCCCTCCCCCAGTTCTGACCCAGACAAAAAATTTGTTCTTAGAAATGGTCCTCTCATCAACCCCAATATCCGATTGAGCAATCCAGTATCCACAAATATGTGGGTGGAACTAAAGTTAAAAATCAGTGCACTTCATGATTCTGGCAGAACTGCACTGAGTTCAACATTGTCTAGTTTCTCAGTGTTGATATTCAACCAAGTCTTAAGAGGGCAGCTGAGGGCACTGAAAATAGAAGCTGAAGCTAGCAATCTGCTGGGAGGTACACGCTGAAATCAGGGACACCAAAAATATTGTTAATATCCTCTTCCTGCAAGGAAAGTATTATTAGCCCATTATGTTCATTAATTCATCTAAATCATTGTTCAGAGGAAACTGAAGTAAATTCACAACATGCAAACAGGATTTTAACCAAGAAGAAACAAAGACAACAGCCAAGTCTATTTACACAAGCACAGCATGGAAGGAAACACACTCATTCTTGGCTTGCCTCTGGCAGGGTCGCTTTTGAAAAGATGCTTTTTAGGGAGAGGGAAGAAGTTGGCTCCCAAGTATAATGCAGAAGGCTAACAAAAATGAGCAAAGAACATCCAAATCTCATTGGTGAACCCAAGTTATTAATAGTGGTGGCAGAAAAGCTGGTGTAAATTAAAACACAGTAAACTCTACAAACTAAAAGATGAGGCTGGGTGTGATTTTAGAAATGACTTGCAGGCAGGTCAAGCCTCTTATGTGTGAAATGAGTCATTTCAAACAGGATTTACTCAGGACCAGGATGCCATGCTCTAACTTGTGCTCAATCTTAAAGGATTTAGCCATAAGACAGGAACCTACCTGAGCCTCTAGCTGGCATTCCGTGAGAGCCATCATTTCCTCATAGGTCATCTGGGAGAAAAGCGCAGCATATTTGTGCAGGCGGAGGCTTTTCAACCAGGCGGGAACATCTATAGGATCAGAGGTGAGAAAGATGGGGAGTAATAGAGGGGAGAAAAGAAGATTTAAAAAAAAATAACAATGGGGAGGAAGATGCGAGGAAAAGAATGAAAGAAGTAGAGGGCAGGAAAGAGAGAAAAAAATTTCTGTTATTACATGTTTTACTATGCAAACTGATATTCATTTCATCTTCAGATTTCCTAGGTGTCCTACATAGTAACACAAAACAATACTCTGGATGAACCACTCGATCATGGCTATGGCAAGAATTCATTTGTCAGTCAGTCAACAAGCATTTATTAAGAACTTACTATTAGTAATGTACAAATTACCTGCTGCCTCAATATATTCCTTTTTAAGATTTCAGGTCAGACAAGCATATGTTGGGACTGTTCCTCCTACTTCTACAGAGCTGTGGGGGTAGGAGTACAGTCACTGTAGTATATAGTCGGACTACTGTTGAGTCTATCTTTTTACTCTGTGTAAACTATGACTATGGGGTACTTGGATCAAAAGAATAGTAAATGAGTAACGGTCTAAGGATGTTTTTATTACTTTTTCCTCCAAAGCATGGAATGAAGTTGATTATTTTTTTGGTATGTTAAAAAATGAACCAACCAACCATTTAGAATCAAAGGTATTTGAGGGGACCCAAAAGAAACCAATGGGCTAGTGAGCTGTTTTCAAGTCAGATTACACCTAAATGATTCTCTATCACAATGCAAACTCTGATCAGAAATGACTATTAAATTTGATGAGTTAAAGATCCCAGACTTAAAAACTAGCTAATCAAGTTAAATTAAAACCATGTTAAAAGTAATTTTATAAAAAGCTATATAATCTTTCTATGAGCACAACTAAGATAAGGCATTCACCTAAATCACTTCATTGTCATAGAATTTTAGACCTACAAAGACTCTGAGAAATCAATTTTTCCAGCCCTTGTATTTTCTAAAGTGGGAAACTAAGGCCCACCGAAATTAAGTGACTTCTCAAGGTCACATGGCTAGTGGCAGACCTGGGATGAGGTCCCCTGCATGCTCTAGCCTAGGGGTCTTAGCATCGTACCACCTTCAGTTTCTCTCTCTGTAATGTATACATAAGGCCATAACTGGTCAGGAACGATATGAATTGATAATAACTGCAAAGTATTTTGAAATGGCAAAGCATCAGATCATCATTCATGATAATTACTGTGAGACTACAGAACCACAAAATTTGAGAGTCATATGGTCAAACGTATATCCCCAAAAGAATCCATACCAAAACATACTTGGAACAAAGTTTTTTTCTTCTTCTGTCGTTAGGGGCCACAAATAGAAATTTTCTGATTTTTCTGAGGTCAGAAATGTTGCTTTAACAGAGGTGTCAGTATAAAATATTAATAGGGGATAACTTGTATTAAAAAGGCCTGGTTTTCTCTCAAATAAGGACAGTACATATTTATGAAGCTTTTATAAGGTCTGCAGAATGCTTTACAAATATTATCTTTTTTTTTTTTTGGTAAATAGCATACAAATATCATCTTGTTTGATCCTCCCAATAACCCTGGGAAGGAGGTGCTATTATTGTCTCTATTTCATAGATGAGGAAACTGAGGCTAGAAAAAGAATTTCAGTGACTTGCCCAGGGTCACACAGTCAACAATGTCTGAGATAAAATCTCAGTTCAGGCTGTGTGACCCTGGGCAAGTCACTTAACCCCAATTGCCAAAAAAAAAAAAAGATCTCAGTTCAGTCCAGGCCTCTATCTATTGAGTCATCTATTTGCTCAGATCAAGTATTGATTCCAATGTTAAGTTCAGAAAAGTGGTTTAAACTTAGATTACCACATAGGTCTAGATTCTTCCTAAGTGAAAGGGCAAAAAGAAGGAGAGCCATCACTACAACATACTCGTATGTTTGGTTGGACCTGGTGATTGGTATAAAAAAGATTTGATGATCAGGTTCCCAACCTACCCCAAATCAAATGTAAGTTTTCTAATTCATAAATAGTTTCTAAACATAACGAAAAATTAAATACACAGAAATATGCCCAAATGGCATTTCAAGGATTCACAGATACTTCTATACAGTATCCACCTACTTTTTTAAATACTGAATCTCTTCATCTCACTGCAAATGACATTTTGCAGAAAATATTAATTCATATAAATCTTTCTAGAGCTTGTCAGCAAGGGCCCTTCTTCCCATTCCATGCATAGAGACAAAAAGACAGTAGGTGGAGAATACTGAAAAAGTATATTGGAAAAAGAATATTGGAAAAGACCCTGATGTTGGGAAAGATTGATGGCAAAAGGAGAAGGGGGCGGCAGAGGCTGATATGAATAGACAGTGTCATGGAAGCAATAAACATGAGCTTAGACAGACTTTGGGAGATAGTGGAGGGTAGAAGGGCCTAGCGTGTTATGGCCCATGGGGTCACAGAGTGGGACACAATTGAACAACAGTAACTGTGACCTAATCTCAAGTGCAGTTGGTTCTAGAAGTGCCAGTTAAAGAATTTGGTGTCATTTGCTCTGGATCTATTCTGACCATGATTTTACTTTACAAAGTGACTAGCCATCAGCTTAACTACAGCCTGCTAATTCAGGTCAAGCAGATGTAATTCAGGTCCCAAGTCTGTATCAAGCTTATTTCGGAAAAACACAAGTTGCCATTCTCAAAAACACGGTTTCCTGGTTTAGATATGTCTGGCTACATCAAGTTCACAATATGATGTAATTTTACCCCTAAAGGGTACAGAAGTAGACCCCATGAAACCAAATAGTCAGCAGGTGACCTCTCTGTTTTAAGGCCACATCTTGCACATTAACTGGACACAACTAACAGGGTCATATAATACGCTGCTGAGCTGTGTGGCCAATTAACTAGTGCTTCAGGAACAAGGGCTTACAGAGTCTACCCGAAACCTGGGGGAGCCTTAATCCTTTACTCAACACCTAGGCTGAAGAATAGACATTTTCGAACCTAGCACCATAGAACTACTATATACCTAAGGCTTAATTAGTACAGTGCCCGGCACCTAGTAGGAGCTTAATATATGTCTATTGATTGATTGATTGACATACAAAAACTGAAAACCTTAATGCTTCAGCCCTCCTGGATAGTTCTAATGTAGGCCTGGGGCATGTAAGTTCTCTTTGGCTGTAAAGCTCCTTGAAGACCAGATTTCTGTTCTGGTATAGATCCTTTCCAATTTGGAACTAGGTGTTTAATAAATGCTTATTGACTAAATGAGCCTTATCATAACATTACTTGAGGAGGAGGAAAAGGCAGAATAAAGTTCTATATCTTAAGCTCATATACCTCTGCTTTTTATCATTTTATAAGTTGTGTGGGGCACCTTCCTTTCATCAGTCCTTAGAACATAAAAAATAAACATTTCCTAAAAGTTTTGACTGTTCTTTCATGGTGAGAAATCTAAATTCTTTGCATGCAGGACTTTGTGAGATGCTGGCTGACCAAGACACTGTCCTAACAACAAAACACCCAAGATTTTTCCTCAAAGTCCAAATGCCAAACCTCAAATAAACAACAATAATTAAACCAAGATCTCCCTTTTTAAATCTATTAAACTCTTTTGGGGGAGAAAACAGGAAAAAAGTTTCCCTATTTCCTAGGGAAGCTGATTCTTTTTTGAAGGGGTATATCCCTGCTGGGCTCCTGAACAATGGCTACCACACAGTTGTGCAATTTTCACAGGGCTGCTTTGTTCACTGAGCCACAGAGCAGTTAAAGGGTTCTCATTAATACAGCTGTTACAGCTCAAACACATTAGGTAACCCAAGGATTCCCTCGCTCTGTGCGCAAAGGACAACTGCTAAACCAAATGGTACATTCCTGAGATATGTGCTATGTATATAATGAGATATATATACACACACACACACACACACACATATATATGTATATGTGTATATGTATACATATACATACATAAAACTTTTACCTCTCAAGGTTCATAATGGCCAAATTCTGACACTAGAAAAACCAAGCTTTTCCCATATCAAAGAATTTCCAGCTGTGGACCATAAACCTAATGAGCTTTCTTTCCCTCAACAGGTGTCTTATTCCTGAGAGTGTCGATTTTTATTTTTGTGGGGGGTGGGGAGAAGCAACTTGCATCTGTCCAAATTCAAGTGTTCATTTCTGACAGCTGCATGAATTTTTCCCTATCTGTGGTAGGCAGGGGATAAGGATTCTTATTTATTTCCATTTTGCAGATTAGATAAACTGGGATATAGAAAGGTGATGAAAACAAAGTCATATTCACATTTTTGATTTCAGGTTACAACTAGGGATTCTTAGCTCTTGTCTTCAATGATCAATGATAGCCATGGGGTGAAAAGTCAACACCTTCCATAGTTCCTCATCCTTTCTACCATCATATACTGTCACAAACATAGTCTGTTTTCTCCATCTGATATCCTAAGGGATGTCCAGATCTCCTACTTCTCAGTCAACAATGTAATTTAATAGAAAAAGTAATGGAAAAAAAATCACTGGATTTGGAGTTAGAAGACTTGATTCCTGGCTTCCTTTGTTATTTACTACTTATGTGGCTTTGATCAATCACTTAACCTCTCTCAGCCTCAAATTCCTGATCTGTAAAATGGGGATAATCATAGCACCTACTCCACAAGGTTGTTTAAGGTTCAAATGACATAATGCACGTAAATTACTTTGTAAAACTTACAGTGCTATGTAGGTCAGCTATTATTAGTGTGTTGGATCATCAGAGATATAGAGCTAAAAGGAACCTTAGTGGTCCTTAGTGACGACCCACCCCAACCCCTCAGTTTATAGACGAAACAGGTCCAAGGTTCACACAGGTGGCATATAGAATAAGAGAGCCCTAGGCTTCGATTCCTTGCACCCAGATCCAAAATCCAGTGCTCCTTCCATTGTGGAAAGTGAGCTCTGAGACAAAGTATGAAGCCCTTGAATCCTATGAGAATTTCTACGAAGAATTCCTTGCAAGAAGATGAAGTTCAGAAAAATACATCTAA